AAATACAAAAAAAAAAAAAAAAAAAAAAAAAAAGGCTTCCAACCCCGAGTGCTCAGTGAAGGGTTAGGCAAGTTTAGCTCACTAATTGATAATAAAGAGTTAATCCTTGGAGATGACTGCTCTTCTCCTGTTACTTCGGGGAATGTCTCAGGTTTGGGCCCAAAGGCATACCCACATCCAAAAGAAATTCCAGTGGAACACCCTGTTCAATCTTCTTTATCTTTTTGTTTGTTTGCTTGTTTGTTTTTTGAGACAAGGTTTCTCTGTGTAGCCCTGGCTGTCTTGGAATTCACTGTGTAGACCAGGCTGGCTGGAACTCAGCAATCTGCCTGTTTCTGCCTCCTGAGAGTGCTGGGATTAAAGGCATGTGCCACCATGCCTGGCCAACCTTTTTTATCTTCTTATTTCTGCTAATTACCTGGTGTCTGGCTCTGGCTCTGGCTCTAGTTCTTCTTTAAAAAAAAGTTTTTCTTTGGGGGAGATCGAGAACACAGTCCCCCCACTACCACAAATTATGCTGTCAAATTTCCCGCATTTGGGGAAAAATCTCAGAGGTCAGCACATCCAAATGCAATGGATAAGCCTCGCCCTGGGAAAACCACCTTCGTGATCATGGTATCGCCCCTGCCAGGCACTAGTTCTTGCCCCAAACTCAGGAAGTCATTTTGCTGAGGAAAAGTCATGTTAGGGGCTGGAAAAATGGATTAGAGAATCTGCTGCCCTTGCATAAAACCCAAGTTCAGTTTCCAACACCCATACCTAACTGTCTGTAACTCCAGCTCCAGGAGAATATGATGCCTCTGGTCGACATGGCCACCTGCATTCATGTGCACATACCCACATACAAACACACATTTGGCCATTTGGGAGTAAGTGGCCAGAGGGTAACAGCCCTAGCTTGGGAAGGCGAGAAAGAATAGACCCATTTCTTCTGGTTGAACTGATTATCAGGAGGTTTTCTCAGTGGATAGACCCTTTCCAAAGCATCCATAGAAAGCCCCGATGTGGTTACACCTGTAACCCCCTACTCAAAGTCAACCTTACCTGCATAGTGAGTCCTGTGTCAAGATCCCAAGCCAGATGTCATGATACTTACCTATAATCCCAAAGCTTGGGAGGCTGAGACAGGAGGATCAGAGCTTAAGGTACATCTCAGCTACATATGGTCATCTTTATAAAAAATTTTTAAAAAGGTAGGACTTTGACACAGATGGCAGTCAACTGGTAATAGAAGCATAATCCAGGCTGAGGTGATTACTCACCTATGTCTCTATGGACCTCTAGCTTGCAGAACCGGATAACATGAAAGATCTCAAGAAATGTCAGATCTAGGGGGGCTGGAGAGATGGCTCAGAGGTTAAGAGCACCGACTGCTCTTCCAAAGGTCCTGAGTTCAATTCCCAGCAACCACATGGTGGCTCACAACCATCCCTTATGAGACCTGATGCCCTCTTCTGGTGTGCAGATATACATGGAAGCAGAATGATGCATACATAATAAAGAAATAAAATCTTAAAAAAATGTCAGATCTGTCCTGGCATTATAATGCCACCCTGTGCTTATTCCAGTCAATTCCTGTCTTTATAGCCCCAAAATCAATGCTAGAGTCCACAAAGCCCACTTTAGAGCTGTTTCTATTTCCAGAGTCTTGCTAGTGGTACACTTTTACACTTTCTCTGCAGAGGACTTCCCCCTATGACTGGAGGAAAGTACAGTGCACACAGGCGTCCTGTCTTATTTTAAAGATTTATTTATTATGTTTACCATGTTCTGCCTGCATGTATATCTGCATTGCATGCCAGAAGAGGGCACCAGAACACATTATAGAGGATGTGAGCCACCATATGATTGCTGGGAATTGAACTCAGGACCTCTAGAGGAGCACCAGTGTTCTTAACCTCTGAGCCATGTCTCCAGCAGTCTTTTTTTTTTTTTTTGAAAGATTTTATTTATTTATTATGTATACAACATTCTGCTTCCATGTATATCTGCACACCAGAAGAGGGCACCAGATCTCATAACGGATGGTTGTGAGCCACCATGTGGTTGCTGGGAATTGAACTCAGGACCTCTGGAAGAGCAGTCAGTGCTCTTAACCTCCGAGCCATCTCTCCAGCCGTCTTTTAAAAATATTTTTCTTTATTTATGTGTATGTACCTGAGTGTCTGTATGTCTATCGTGTATGAAGTTGCCCTCAGAGGCCAGAAGGTTCTCCTGGTGCTGGAGTTACAGGCAGTTGTGAACTCTTCACTGTGGGTGCTGGGAGCTAAAATCAGGTCCTCTGTAAAAGCAAAAGGTGATCTTAACTGCTGAGAGCTCTGTCCAGCCCAGGCTTCCTTTCATATCCAGGTGCCACTCAGCCACAGGGCATCGTTGTTGTAGACAGATGCACTAATCCCTCCTTATGATCCCACCCCTCAACCCAACTGCCTTTCCCTAAGACTAAACCCTGGAGCTGATGTTAATTCACACAAGTTCTCAAAAAGTTTGGCAGTATGTAACAAGACCAAAAAAACATATTCATGCTTTTTGACCCAAACAACCCCATTTCTGGGAATCTGTCCTAAGGACATTCTGCAAATGACTGATGGGGATGCCTGTGTAGTAACATGAAATATTTATGATATAATGATTAAGAAGTCTGGAAGAATTGAGCAAGAAACTAGCCAGATGTGTTAGTGGTATCAGAATAATGGATTTATTGCAGTCTTCCTTTTTCCCAACTTTGTTTTGTTTGTTTTCTGAGACAGTCTCTCTAGGTAGCCTTGGCTGTCCCAGAACTCTCTGTGTAGAGCATGTTGGGGCCTGGAACTCACAAGATATCCACCTGCCTCTGCCTCCTGAGTGATGGGATTAAAGATGTGTACCACCGGGCTGGAGAGATGGCTCAGGGGTTAAGAACGCGGACTGTTCTTCCTGAGGACTGGGGTTCAATTCCCAGCAACCACATGGCAGCTTACAACTGTCTATAGCTCCTGTTCCAGGGGATTCAATACCCTCATAAAGACATTCATTCATGCAGGCAAAAGATCAATGTACATAAAATAAAATAAATAATTTTTTAAAAAGTTGTGTACCACCATGCCCAGCTTTTTTCCCAAACTTTCCATATTAGATATTGAGTTTTACCTTCCTATGCCATATCAGAGTTTATCAATCAGGAACAGAAACAGCACAATCAGATGGGAAAACTAGAAGTTTAACAGACAAGGTCCTCTCATTGCCTGTCATTTACATCTAGTTTCTTCAACTCTTAGGGATGCGCTCAACATTTCTGAGCACCACTTACTTTCTAGCAGGGGAAATAGAGTTTCAGTTGCTGTACATAAGTGATGTCATCACAAATACAATAATAGGACAGGCTGGACAATATAGGCTTGTATAATCCCTGAATTTGAGAGGTGGAGGCAATAGAATCAAGAGTTCAAAGCCAACGTAGCTGAGATCCTGTCTCAAAAAACATTTTAAAGTAAATTCTTAAAAATATAGGTCGGGCTGGGCAGTGGTGGCACATGCCTTTAGTTCCAACACTCAGGAAGCAGAGGCAGGCGGATCTCTGTGAGTTCAAGACCAGCCTGGTCTACAAGAGCGAGTTTCAGAACAGCCTCCAAAGCCACAGAGAAACCCTGTCTCGAAAAACCAAAAAATAATAATAATAAATTAAAAAATAAAAATACAGGCTGGGCAGTGGTGGTGGATGCCTTTAATCCCAACACTCAGGAGGTAGAGGCAGGTGGATCTCTGTGAGTTTGAGGCCAGCCTGGTCTCCAGAGCGAGTGCCAGGATAGGCTCCAAAGCTACACAGAGAAACCCTGTCTCGAAAAACAAAAAAAAAAAAAGAAGAGAAACAAACAAAACAAAACAAAAAAAAAGCCCCAAAATATAGTACACAAATAAACAGTGTTAATAAGAACCACAAAGAAAAAAACCATTATCCACCAAGAGCAAAAGGGAATTAAGGAACTCTTCCAAAAGTTTGGGCTGATTGATTCAAGTTCAGGTTTGAAGTTTATCTGCCAAGACAAAGGAGCCCCAACATGTACAAAGGCAAGACTATGTGAACAGCATGGCGGGCTGAGGAAATTACTGAGGGCAATTAGGGCCTGGAAGGCAACTGAGTGGGTGTGAGGCACTATGAGAGAAGAAGCTTTAGTTATACTTGTTTGGTGCAAGGTCCTGGGCTTTGGAACGATCATGAGATTTGCATTTTAGAGCGATGACTCTGGCCTACATGGAGAGAATGGAAAAGAGGTCTTCGGGGTTGCGCTGGGTCAGGAAGAAAGGGTGGCCCGAAGGGGACCAGCAGACTCCCTTTCTCAACATCCTGACTTACACTTGGCCCGCGACTAGCGCCTCCAGGATCGCCCTCCCTTCTTCTCCCCTTGGGCCCCGAGGGCGGGCGGGCGGGCAGGCGAGCTGGGGAGGCGGGGGAAGGGGTGGCCCTGCCTGGGTGGCTGAGGCTCCCGCTGCTTCCCGAGATCCGCAGTCGCCTCCTTGAGCTGTGAGGTGCTTCGCCGCAGCCGGTTCCACCCACACGCGGAGCCCACTTTGGATCACGGCCCGCAGATCCAGCGGGACTTAGGTTCTCCCCCCCCGTCCCCCGCCGCTCCCGGGCTGCTCCTGCGCATCTGCACCCGCGTCTCACGACCGCACGTTCGCCACCCCAGGAGTCCCCAGGCGAAGCCAGACGGCACAAGGGGCCGAGCTAGCCCATGGCCGCGCTCAGATAACGCAGGTTGGGGGCGCTCGCGCCCCCCATCCTCACCAGCATGGTTCGGCCGCTGTCCCTTGGAGAGCTGCCTCCAAACTACACACCTCCAGCTCGGTCCGCAGCACCTCAGGTGAGCAGAAGATAAGTTGGTAGAAGCGGAGCTTGTGTCTGTCACTTCAATGTCTGCAGGTTGTGTGATGTTTATAGGTCAGGTGTTACTGGATCTGTGTTTGAAGACAAGTGGGAGCTAGCAAGTGATGTTAATTTATTTCCTATCATCTGGTCAGTGAAAACAGTACGTCTGTGGGCTCGCCTCTGTGTTCCTCCGAAAGCTACTATGTGTTCATGGCTCAGAACTCTCAAGGGGGGGGGGGGCAATTCTCAGGTGTGCTTGTGGAGAAGGCACAGCGGAAGAGAGAGTTAAGTCTTTAATTTGAAGCCTCTATCTGTAGCTGCTTTCTGCCCCGCATCCAGAAGTCAGGAAACCAGGACACTACAGAGAGAGAGAGAGAAGAGGATTCTGCATTGTTATCCTGACACCTAGCTGACCCTTCTCTTTCCGTCCCAGATCCTAACTGGGAGCCTGCAGGCTCCTCTCTGGCTTCGTGCTTACTTCCAAGGCCTGCTCTTCTCCCTGGGGTGCAGGATCCAGAGACATTGCGGCAAAGTGCTCTTCCTGGGACTGGTGGCCTTTGGGGCTCTGGCACTGGGTCTCCGAGTGGCTGTTATTGAGACAGATCTGGAACAGCTCTGGGTAGAAGGTGAGTTACCGACACTGGCCATAGCTGCTTTGCTATATGGAGCCCAAGACAGAGATCAGGATGAGGAGCTGGCCACTGAGCCCCCAGCAGGCCGGGTCAAGGATCTGAGGCATCTCCCAATGAGTGCCTGTGTATCTGGGCATGTTGGAGAATGCCTACCTCTCCCC